TAAGTTTTGGATCATAATTAAATGGTTTTCTGTTTATTGGATGATACACAAATTTGGTTCCCACCATATTCTTTCCTAATGAGTTGAGTCTTCGACCTCCAAGGGGAAGGCCTAGTGTTCGGCCACTGGGTTTCTCTTGGAGGCATAATTCAAATTTATTAAAACCACTATTTTACCTTTGTTTTAGACAGAATTGAGTTGCCATCATTTTGGCATCCAGTTTTCAGCTCTCTAGAGTTAGATTCCATGTTTGCAGTTTGCTTGCCTCTGCATTGAGATGTAGTAAGTTTATTTGCCTTAGTTTCTTGTTTCTCTTTTTTCAATCAGACATTATTATATGTTATCAATTTGGTTTACTTGTATTAACCTTGCACCTTTCTTTCTAATTTATCGCTTAAAGCAAAATGTCTTGCTGCTTAATTTGCAAGCCTATGCTATTTTATGGGTAAATTCTCTGTTTGTCTTGGGAGTTGTGGCTCTTCTATCTTTATCTGTATTGAACTGGCTTTTTGTCTCATCCGGAAGAGTTGTGTTTGATCACATATAAACTTTGACGGTGAATCTCATTGTTTTTGCAGCCTGAATTATGTGAAAGAACTTGTTTTTAGAGTTTTGTTGCAGATGCTCTAGGGATTTGTTGTTAATTCGTTGCTGGTCTTGCGTCATGTAAGATTAGATGATCATAATTTTGGGCCTTCATGCAGATAATTCCACCTGGCATGGAGTTCCATCACATAATTCCACAAGATGGTGATATAGAAAGTGAACCAGACGGAAATTTGGATCATCCTGCCCCCCAAGATCCACCTATTTGGTCTGAGGTTGGTTCAAAATATGCTTTAGATCCCTCTTTTGGTGCTTCCAGGACAATTAGCCTTCCTAAAATTCTGCTCATGTGATATGTCTGAGGGAAGAATGTTCTATTTCTAGATGCAATGCAATTGTTAAATTTATTTCAATTTAAACTTTGCTATCCAGATAATGCGGTTCTTTACCAACCCTCGCAAGCCGATGATCCTTGCCCTTGCTAGGCCAGACCCCAAAAAGAACATCACAACTTTGGTAAAAGCATTTGGAGAATGCCGTCCCCTGCGAGAGCTTGCAAATCTAGTATGAATAATTACTCTACATATGTTCAAGTATAATTTCTTCATTTTCTCTCCAGCTGACTGGGGTTGCCTGTCTGATCAATTGTTATTCCCTTTTTAATTTTTTCAGACATTAATTATGGGTAACAGAGATGGCATTGATGAAATGTCAAGCACAAATGCCTCTGTTCTTCTCTCAGTACTTAAGCTGATTGACAAGTATGATTTGTATGGGCAAGTGGCATATCCAAAACACCACAAACAATCTGACGTCCCTGACATATATCGTCTAGCTGCAAAGACAAAGGTAACTCCACCTCTTTGGTCATTATTAGACACTGTGTGAATACTGTCTGTTTGTCTTGTACATATTTGCGTCTTCCTGTTCACTTCATTTTGTAAGGACTCTTTTTGACATGCTAGCATTGTTGCATCACTTTGCTGTGGTTTGAAATTATTGGCATTTCTGAAAGTGAAGATGACAAAAATCTATTTTTCATAAAGAAATTCTTGTTTTCTTTTAATGCAAATATTTCTGTTTTGTTCTCTATTTGGAACATATGATTTAAATAAAGCAGATGTGTGCCAATCTAATCTGAATATTATTGTATGTGTTCTCATCTCTTTCTTGTGCAAGCGTATCTTTTTCATTTTACATTTTCTTCATGTGTTTCTATGCAGGGTGTTTTTATCAATCCAGCTTTTATTGAGCCATTTGGTCTTACCTTAATTGAGGTGACTTTCAGAATCTTGGAATGATTTCTTTTTACCTTATCACGTGATTATTTCATAAGTCATTAACGTATGCCTAGTCGTTGAACAGGCAGCTGCTCATGGTCTGCCAATTGTTGCAACGAAAAATGGAGGTCCCGTTGATATTCATAGGGTATGCTGATTCATAATCATTGGTATTTTATGTATTAATCTGAAAAGCTTTCCTTGGAAACTTCCGTGACTGCTTGGTTATTAACACAGGTACTTGACAATGGCCTACTTGTGGATCCCCATGATCAGCAATCTATTTCAGATGCTCTTTTGAAGCTTGTTAGCAACAAGCAATTATGGGCAAAATGCAGACAGAATGGGTTGAAGAATATTCATCTATTTTCATGGCCTGAGCATTGCAAGACTTACCTGTCTAAAATAGCCACTTGCAAACCAAGATATCCTCAATGGCTGCGAAATGATGATGGAGGTGAAAGTTCTGAATCGGAATCACCAAGTGATTCCTTGAGAGACATACATGATTTATCCCTAAACCTGAAGTTTTCACTGGATGGAGAGAAGAGTGGGGCTAGCGGAAATGATAATTCCATGGAATCTGAAGAAAATACAACTGATAGAAAAACTAAATTGGAGAATGCCGTGTTGTCATGGTCCAAGGGCATCTCCAAGGATACGCGCAGGGGTGGAGCTACAGAAAAATCAGATCAAAATACAAATGCAGGTAAGTTTCCGCCACTGAGGAGGAGAAAGCATCTGTTTGTCATTGCAGTGGACTGTGATACTACTGAAGGTCTTCTTGAAGCCATTAAAGTGATATTTGAGTCCGCAGAAAAGGAGAGGGCCGAAGGCTCTGTTGGGTTCATTTTGTCAACATCCTTCACAATATCTGAGATACAGTCATTCCTCGTCTCGAGCGGCTTGAGCCCTAATGATTTTGATGCTTATATTTGCAATAGTGGCAGTGATCTTTACTATCCATCCCTCACTTCTGAAGATCGTGCCTTTGTGGTTGACTTGTATTATCACTCACACATCGAATACCGTTGGGGTGGGGAAGGGCTGAGGAAAACTTTGGTACGTTGGGCAGCATCAATCACCGATAAGAAGGATGAGGTGGAGGAGCAGATTGTAACTCCTTCTGAACAGCTTTCTACTGACTACTGTTATGCTTTCAAACTGCAAAAGCCGGGAAAGGTAAATTTTTCTTTCTGGTTGTTTATGATTTTGTGCGAAAAATATCATCCCCAGCTTTAAGCTTGTGACTGGATTTACATGTAAGTGTCTCATAAGGATTCTTTTTTTTTTTTTTTTTTTGGGGTTCCTTTAAAAATATTTTTTGACGGACTATTCCTTAAAATTTTATGTTCTTTTTATCTTACAGGCTCCTCCTGTGAAGGAACTTCGGAAGCTTCTGAGAATCCAGGCTCTACGTTGTCATGTTATTTATTGTCAAGATGGGACAAGAATGAACGTAATTCCAGTACTGGCATCTCGTTCGCAAGCCCTCAGGTATCGTTTAATCTTCACTGCCAATGTTTTACTTCAACCAGTGCTGGTAAATTAACTTTCTGAGCTTTTTACTGTGTTTCTTTTTTCTAATTTTGCTGATAAAAAGGTGCGCAATGGACAGTTGCAGCATTACCTTCTCAAATCCTCGGATAGAACTATGCATCTATTAAAGCAAAGTTATTATGGAATAGTCTTCCACTTTCTGTGCCAGTATATGTATTCTTGACATTAAAGCAATCGTGGTTTATGAATAATTCGTTTTTGATAGGCTGATAGTATAAAAGGTGCAAGAACCTGGTTTCTTTTAATGGCATTTAAATGAAGCATCTGAATCTAGGAACTCTCTTTTCCCTTATAGCATAATATCCTCTATTGACAATCACACGACAAAATAACAGCATAAATTTTATTTTGCAATCTGCTTGACTTGATCAACTTCTCCTCTAGGTACCTCTATGTTCGGTGGGGTTTTGAGCTGTCGAAGATGTTGGTGTTTGTGGGAGAATGTGGTGAGACTGATTATGAAGGATTGCTTGGTGGTCAACACAGAAGTGTTATACTGAAGGGAGTTGGTAGTAGTGCAATCAGCCAACTCCATAACAATAGAAGCTATCCTCTCTCGGATGTCATTGCACTGGACAGCCCCAACATTGCTGAGGCTAGTGACGGCAGCAGCGGTGCTGATATCCGTTCCCTGATAGAAAAATTAGGATTTCTCAAGGACTGAGAATAATCTCTCTGCTCAGCCATGTCTCTTCTGCGAAACATATCTTCATTCTTGCTTCTGTTCTTGAAAATGCTGACAAAGTCCTCCTCTTGCCTCCTTTGCAACTTGCATAGGCATTCTCTTTCATCTACCGCTTCATTCTATGAAGCTTGCAACTTGCATAGTTATTCTCTCATCTACCCCCTCACCCTATGAAGCTCGTTTTGGCTCTTGTATGTTGCCTGCACCTGTATATATACTTTTCAATAAAAGAGCAACTTCCATTTCAATAAGTTCGCCGCTTATGTTTTCGTGGACGTTGTTGTGACATTTCTCGTGACCTCAGTACCACTGGAAGTACCTGTCTTGTTCTCCGTTTTCATCTTTTTCCTTTTCTCTATTTACGATGGCAGCTTACGATGTTGCACAATAAGAAACAAGCATATATGAAAGGTATCCATCTCAGTTTGCCGTTACTTTATGAGTATGAGATCCATTGTCAATCTGTAATTGAAGACTATATGTTGGGATGGATGATGGGTTATTTGCAGTTGTATATGTTATATGAAGAAACCAGATTGGTTTCCTTACGGACAAGTGATGCCTTGGAAATTCATTTCGTTTATTTGTATCGTCTTGTGAATTTACCACAGAAATATATTATTCATCATTCTCTCAACAGTCAATACCACCTACAGTTAGCACCCAATTTCGCCCAAATCCGCCACGATGTCACTAAAAAGGACCGAAGGGTAGAATCTTAGTTTGAGGGAGCACCGTTTAAGAGGCACGAGCGTGCATAAAATGACATCAATTTAGCATCATCAGTATCACCTAAACAAGTTAAAAAATTAGGGTTAAAAAACACTAAAAAGTATTGTTCAAGTGTATTGTTATTACCTTTTCTTTCCCCCCAAAAATTGCATCCGGTCTGCCATAAATTCTCAGCAGATTCGTCTGCCTTCATTAAAACTGGCAAGCTCTGTTTGAAATGGTATTTAAGAATAGTGATGATGGCACATCACTTCCAGACTGAGGAGGCTGGATAGCTTAGTATCCCATCAGTGGATACCTACTTGCGCCATTATCCCATCCAAGCTCATCAAAGTCTCAAAGATCTCTGAAGTAAATGGGTGAGTCTCATCGTTGACGCCAAATTTTATATAACCCGATTCCAGCTCAACGGAGCTATAGCCAATTGGCTTCCTAATTTCTTTCTCTCTGATCGATGTCCTCAGTTTTGCTGCCTCCTTCCACCGACCTGCATCCTCATACATTTGTGCCAGAATTACATAACGCCCTGCATTATTAGGATCCAACACAAATAGCTTCTCAGCAGCAAATTCAGCCAGCTCTATATTCTTGTGTATTCTACAAGCACCCAACAAGGCACCATACACATTTTTATCTGGTTGAATGGGCATGGAGTTGATAAGCTCCCCAGCTGTATCTAAATGGCCAGCTCTCCCCAAGAGATCCACTGCACAAGCATAATGTGCTTCAGTTTTCTGAACTCCATAAGCTTCCATGGATTGAAACACATCCCAACCTTCTGCCAGCATGCCTGCATGACTACAAGCAGATAACAAAGACAAAAATATAACCCCATCGGGGCGTATGCCATCTTCAACTAGTTGTTTAAACATACTGAGTGCCTCGTGTGCAAAACCGTGCATCCCATAGCATCTAATTATGGCATTCCACACATAAATATTTCTCTCGGGGTCAGAGATTCGGTCAAAGATGACTCTTGCTATGTCTATATAGCCACAGTTTGAATACAAGGATATAAGACCACTGCACAAAGCAGCATTGAGTTTCATTCCCGACTTTACAATGTAAGAATGAATCCAGAATCCTGCTTGGATATCTGCAGCCTGAGCAAGTGCTGGAAGAACAGTTACAAAAGTGGTATTATCAAGGGCACCAGTGACATCATTCCTCAAAAGGGAATAGAAGATCCGGATCGCTTCATCCATGTACCCGTTTGTGGTATATCCTGAGATCATGGAATTCCAACTGACTATGTCTTTTTGAAGAATCCCATCAAATATTGTTCTAGAGATGTCAAGATCCTTACACTTGGCATAAAATGTCACAAGAGCGTTTCCAACATATAGATCAAAGTCCAAACCAAATTTCACAACATGTCCATGAATCAGTTGACCCTTTTTATGAGCTTCCTCTGCGCCACAAGCCTTTAGCACAAAAGGGTATGTGTAACGGTTTGGGGTTATGCCATTTGAGCGCATTTCATCATACACATTCAAGGCTTCAACAAAAGGACCCACATTCGCATAGCTCTTGATGATCACATTCCAACAAAATACATCTCTCTCAGACAATATGTCAAACACCTTCCTTGCGCTTTCCAGATTGGGAGGACCGAGCTCGGCGTAACTTCCAATAAGCTTAGTTGCCAGAAATTGATTTTGTTCATAACCGCGAACAATAATCCGAGCATGCACATTTTTTAAGCCGGCGATGTTTTTACAGAGCTGCAAGAGATCCGCGTAATGGTTCGAGTCTTTATGAGATTTCGAATATGTAATTCCCGCCACTAAAAATCTGATTGAAGTGTTCAAAACCCGATTCAATCCCAGCAGCCGCTGCTGTAATTTCCGAAATTGACGAGGGCCAGGCATAGGAACTCATCAAGATTCTATCAATGTTTTCCGGGACTTACCAGTGATGATTCTGAATATGTTTTGACATGTTCCCCGTGAAGTTATGCTGTAAGTGATCCTTTTGGTAAATGACAGGAAAATGTCTTTGCTGGAGTTTTTGATTATGCGGAAAACGGAAAAACCAGAAAAAAATCACCTTGTGATTTTATTTCCATTCCAGTATCTGTGATGTTTGGAACTTGAAAATCATAAGTCAGAACCAAACCACCCCCTGGAATCTCAGCCCACAAAGAGGCAGTTGTAACAGGCCCCAGTCCAAGTGCTGGTGCAAATGGGTCAGGCCGTGTTCGACGCAGCCAGCGCGGGAGAGGAAAAAGACCTGGAAGCTGCGAATCCTAGGGGACGCATGTGGAATACAGGTTTCTTTTTAGGGAAAATCCCAAAAAAAGTCTTTGGAATATGGAAAATGTCAGATTGGGTCTTTAAATTTCGAAAATGACAGAATGGGTCATTGACCCAATCTGTCATTTGTGAAATTCAAGCGAATTGACAATTTTGCCCTCATTTATTCATTCACTACAATGATTCAAGGAATCACTATAAGAGTTTAGGTGTTACCTAGATTCGTATAGCGAATAACCATTCACTTTTTCATAGTCAAGTGTCTTGTTATTAACTACAACTAATGCTGTAATCACTAGAACAATGTAAGCATTACCTAGATTTGTGTAGAGAATAACTACTCATTTTTTCATAGTTAGGTATCTTATTATTGTCAGGTACCTTATTATTAACTACAACGAATCTTGTAATCACTAGAACAGTATAAGCGTTACCTAGATTTGTTTAGAGAATAACTACTCACTTTTGCTCAGGGGCAAAAATGTCAATTCGCCTGAATTTCACAAATTACAAATTGGGTCAATGACCCATTCTGTCATTTTCGAAATTTAAGGACCCAATCTGGGATTTGGTATATTCCAAGGGCTTTTTCTGGGATTTTCTCTTCTTTTTATTTAAAATATTAATCTATATAATTTAGCAAAAAATCTAATCATTTTACCTTGGATCAAAATCTATAATTTAAATTTTGAAGAACAGTTTAGCCAAAAAAAGAAATTTGAAGGGTCACAACTAAAATAAAAATAAACTTAAAAAACTAAAAATTATATTAATCCTGTTATTTTCATATATTGTAAAAGCCAAGTGTTACCCCAGTTTAAAATAGTTGCCTTCAAGTTCAGAGGGATGGGCAATGAGGTGATAAGCATACAGAAGAATTCAATATAAGCCAGTGAATTTATAAAATATTAAACACGACTTATTCCTATTTTCACCCAACTTCAAGAGACTCATCCGGTGAATATAAAATAAAAATATTTACAAAATTGATTCATGCCTCATTTATTAGATTTTATGCAGCGTACGGGTGAAGGCAAGTCGTCTGTTTCTGGTGGGTGAAAGCATGGGATGGGTCAGAAGGTGATTTCCATACAGAGGAACGGGAATCAAACGCTGAAAGGCGCCATAAAGATTATGGGTTTCCTCAAATGAACACAAATGATCCCTCAGGTGTGGGATTTTGGTTTCTGTCCTCAATTTTAATTTATTCTATGCAACTTGCAAATCTTTCATTCCATCTTGCTCTTCCCTCTTTACTTATCAAAGAATGACTTTGATTCAAAATATAAATTATTTAAAGGGTAATTAATATTTATTTATTAATTTTAACTATACAATTGATTTGAGAAAAATTTAAATAATTAACTATCATTTTTTTATTTTTATGAATTAGTTAAACTGATTTATATTATGAATCGAATCGGAAATAGTATAATATTCTTATCTTTTGCCCTTGTCAGTTCTGTAAATGCTTGTAAATTGGAGCGTGAAACAATACATTTCCTGTTCATAAAAATAATTGTCATTTTGAAATTATGTACATAAATTAAGAAACCAATAAATATCCCTAAAATTTAACAAAATATAATGATATTTTTCTTTCGGTAAAACTTAAGGATAACAGAGCTTGATGTTAATCTCCTTGAAAGTACTAGAATTGGAGAGAAGGGAGAGACCCTTTACAACTTGATTGCTGTATATATAAAAGCTAGGAATCGAACCTCAACCGCTTAATTAAATGACAAATATAACGATATTTTATTTAAATATCCTCATCCGCTATAACATCTGAAAATAAAGACTCCTTGTTAAAGATAAATAAAATTATCAAAAAATTAATGTATTTTTAAAACCTAAATTAATACTCTTAAAATCATAATTAAGGAGTAATTCACATCTTTCTTTTTTTTGGCCAAGTAATTAAGGAGTAATTCACACTCAATAGTAAATTTCACAAAGTCTGTATTAGTAAGGATTAAGACAAGACATCCTTGGACGCAGCATAGAAATGGGGGTTCGTTGATTTTCAAGTTTCTTGAGGGAAGCATATAATTAATGAGAATATAATAGCAATAAAGGCAAGTATTAATGGGGGTCTGTTTGGCAGCCACCGATCACCTAACTCTTAACTAATTACCAGATAACCCACCCTTATCCATATTTGCCACAAGCTGGTGGGAATCTGGATGCCCTTCGGCAAACCAAAAATTCTTCGTCTCCTTCTCTACTCTTTTTATTTGTTTCCCACAAGATACTGACCATTCCCACTAAATTGTTTTAAAACATGGTTTAACTTGCATAACACATTTTTTTTATTTTTTTAAATTAAAAGAGCAGGTACTAACGATATATGTTTATAATGAGGATCGAATCCCAACCTCCCACTTATAGCAAACTTCATACCACTAAATTACAAGGCTATTAACTTATATAACACATTTTTAACAGTGCCACTCTAATCTTTAGTGTGAATCACTTGTAATATATTTTTGCACACAAAAAATGTATTAAATTGACAAAAATTTCCAATTTTTTCTTATTAAAATTTTTTCTTTCTACATTTACAAATCATTTTCATATTCTTTCTTTCTTTCCAATAAAAATTAAATAATAATAAAATTAAAAAATAAGCATTAAATATATTATAAATAAATTTTATTTAGAATTAAAGCTTTTCTCTATAAATAATTTACATTTAGAAGTGGAGGGGTATACTCTTTCTCCCACCCAAACACTTGAGAGATTTTTTTTATTTTAAATATAAAACATCCATCCAATTCGATTTCTGATTTTGTAATTTCTAAGTTATTTTTATTAATTGCACATGTTAAGAGAAATTTTCATCAAAAAGATTTTTTTCAATACAAATAATTAAATGGATATTTTAGGATAATTAATACCCATTTTTCATAAATAACAAAATCAATTTTTTAAATTCCTGCAAATTAATTATCAAACTCATATAATTAGAACCAACGTGGGTGTGTGTGTGTTTAAGCACACTCTTCTTGTTCACATAACATATTTCATCAATTATAACGAGAAGTTCATTATTTAGTTGTGGACAAGAGATTAATTACATAACTTTGTAGTTTGGGGAGTATCTAGCATTTCTTATGCTTTGCACTAATTTGCTTCTGCAGTGAAGGTTTTTTTAATGTCATAACTCATTTGAAAAATAATTTTTAATATAACAATTAATTCTTGACTCGCAATATTTAATTATTTATATTCCAATATTATCGGATTCAAGGTCAATGGAATTTAAAATAACCGACCGACATGGCCTGTTTCTTTTTTTTTTTTTTTAATGAAAAGACAATTTCATTCGAACAAAGTAAGCCTGAAGGATTAATGGGCATGGTCCGGATGGCTTCAATTAATGTTCCCCTTTATTTTTTTTTAAATTCTTTTGATGAGGTCAATTTTCCTTTATGCTTGTTAATGTTATAGTTGACCTACGTACTTATCTAACAAATAACAATATTTTTCTTACCTATAAAATTCATGTGAGTTACCTCCATGGACTAAATAAAACTAGAGCATTGGTCCAAAAAAAAAAAAACTAGAGCAAGTTTCACAATAGAAATAAATACTTCTCCGGTTATTAATGTAATAACTATTTAATTAATGTGATTATATTAAGAAAGTTAGATAAGTTAATTAGTTATAAAAAATATGACATATTTTTTTTAAATATCATAATTATCTTTTTTGATGTCCTCCCTCACTTTCCTACTTGATTATGGTTAAGATAATATCAATAGAAATAATTTATGAAAAACTGAAAAACATGAGAATTAAGCGTTATATTTACAACCAAAATCAACTCAACAATTAAGTCTTATATTAAGGATCAAAAAAGTATTTACAAATCATCTATTAATAAAATTCTTATATAGATGTGGTGAGATTTGAATCCCATACCTCTCCTTCCTGGTTGGAGGAGAATAAAAGGAAGGGAGTAGATTTTGATGGATTCAATTTGAAAAATAAATAAATGGAATTATAAAAAAGAGAGATAAAACAATAGGAAAAAATAATTAAAAAATTTTAACTCCAGATCTTTTTTTTAAAAAAAAAGACAATTCATTACAATTTTTTCTCGTTACTATTGCCCTCCGACCAAACAGATCAGAATTGCTTATTGATTAGGCTTGTATTAGTTTTTACTTGCAATTCACAAATATTTCTTACCTATCTTTCTCAATCTTAAGTCATAAGCCACTTTATTATTGTTAATTATGTTATTTGATTATGTGGTCACGTTAGGGGAAAAAGTTGCAAGAAAATGTGTCATATATAGTCATATTGTATTATTGTATCAGCCATAAATGGCAATTAGGACAGCAACTTTCCTTCCCATCACAAGTTGCCAACTTTTTTTAGAATTTATAATTAAGAAAAAAACCTTTAAAATTTTGAATTATTTAGAATGCACTAATAATTTATTACATGTAATTGGAAGCAAATGTTCTCGCTTTTTTTCGGGTCGTCGTCATCAAGTCTTGGGTTTTTTGGGGTCCTTTTATTTTTCTTAACTAAATACAGACAATATTATGCCAACCTAAGATAAAGTGAGATTCACACTTTTTTGAAATTACGAACATTTATTTAGTGAACCTCGTAAATGTTTCTCTGTAAGTTTTGACCCTGCGGACATGGGACTAAATTCTTTAAATTGCCACCCTGGCAATTTCTGTCTATAGATTAAAAAAAAAAGAGTCAATTCTATCAAAGCAAGTTAATGAAAAATCAAACCTAATACGATGTCCGATCCAGCTAGTTGATTAACT